AACGGGACATACTTGGCCGTGTCGTCGACAGAGTTCCCTTACAGTTGTCAGGAGTACTCACGCCTTTGATGACGGAAGGTTGCGTTTTAAATGTGACACCGTTCTTTCCTGGTAGAATTACTCACAGCGGGCCTTTTAGGGGTGGGGGCCCAAAACTAGACTGTTTTTATTTATTGCGTATCAAGCCACAACGTCGTACTTTATTCAAAATAATAGAAAGACTGAATGAAACAGGATTCGATGGTGACAGCGTTTGGGTTTAGTGACTGAGAAGAAAACTAATGTCAGTATAAAAAAAACACATGTATCTGTGTACAGTGATGCCAAAATGAGAAGATAAGCCAATGAAGTTGTGTTTATGTTGCTATTATTTTGATGTTCTCATTGACACAATGAAAAAAACACAATTGTAATTATGTCATATTCGGTTAAGACATTTTTAAAAAATTCTTAAAGTGTCCGGGTACTGCCGCAAGGGTGTCCGACTTCAACCGCAGGCGTCCGATTACCGAAGTAGTCGTCGAGTAAATATCATAAGAATTTGCTGAAACAAGCGCACGAACACAACCACTACCGAGTATAATCACCACAGCAGTTACCTCCCTTCACATATACGATGGAAGAAAGTCAATAGGTACTTTGGTTCAACTTGCATGCCGTTAGGAACATTAAGTGTCCGAGTACTGCCCCACCCGCTCTATATCTTGCTGCCCATTATAACGTTACAAGCCCGTCTGGTTTAACCTGCATTATAACCCTACGACAGGTTTATTCTCTTGTTGGTTGTCAAGTCTCTTCACAACATGTCAAACCCACTTTGTAGGTTTTCCCTCCTGAAGACCCTGGGACATGGGTTTGCCATTGATACTTTTGTGGTGTTTCTTCAGAATGTACCTCGTTGGAAATATACAATGTATTTTGCATTTGAACACAATCTACATAACACACATTGCAGCGCTAACTTGAGGAAATGTGCGGAATGATTTTACTTCTATTTAAGTGGGATCTAACATGCAAACGTCGTACTTGTCGCCTATTGAGTGAACCATTAAGCTACAGAGACGCTGATAAACCGCAATTCTTTTAAAGAACCTCTTTTCCAGGTTCATGTACGCCAGCAAGGGATATTTAACGTCCGTTTCCTATAATGGTTCATAAATAGTGGAAACATAAAATTGATGATAAGTGTTGTTCAGATCTTTCTTTCGGATCATAAGTCAGATAATACATCCCCCTCTGGCTTTGTTGAGAAAGTAATCATAGGAGCGGAAACCCGAAGGCCGAAAGTTTTAACACAATAACTGTTTGTTGGACATTCCTTCCGCATTAGGCTGGGATATAACACGAATACTGTTCAAAGCGGCGTTAAACCCAACTCACTCACTAACTTTCAGCATTTCAAAGGGATTTAGTGACAAAAAAGATGTCAAAAGACCCACGAGCATAATACAGAATAAATGGGTGGGGTAAGGTGAAATGGGATTTAATAATGCCTTCAGGAGTTTCACACTTACATAATGACGTGCATGCACACAAGGCAGGGTAACAACAAGTACCATTTTTGTGGTTTGACACAGTCGGGACCGATCCACCGACTTTCCGTTTTCTGCTAGACGATGAAGGAGGTCACAGTATTAATGGAAACCACAGGCTGGATGTATGTTTATCATATGTTAATAATGGCTGATGATGTGAAATGACTTTGATGAATGTATTAGCCTTGTTTATACAGATACGGACGGTGGCGATCCCATGGTGTCGTATGCTGCGTCGTAAGCGGTGACTATGTGGATTGGGTGGTCACGATGCCACTGTATACTGGCGGCTTGGGAGATTGTTCATAATATTAATCATTGGTTTTGTCCATCCATCTTTGGAATTGAAACGTGATTTTCCGTGTGCCGAAAGAACGCTTATACTACTATTAAAACACCGTCCACGGTGACCCAACGATTTGCGTCGGTGATACATTACAGTGTACATGTTATATGACCTCAAACATGAGGTCACAGCATAGTCCATCTGCTCAGGTGTCAACGACTGACACAATCAAGGATTATTCACTAATGTGACTCACACAAGATTGACGGCCTTAAAGGACATACCATCCCAACATACCCTTTACACGAGCAAACTTAAAATATTTTTTGTATCTATTTCTTTAAATACCACAATCTGATCTGGTATGATAAGACAGGGTCGCCTGGGGCATGCCACGGTGACGTCAGCTGACATAGCGGAGTTATCTCAACAGCCATGAAGTTCCTTGTGCTCGGAGTGTCTGTTATCCTCGCTTTCGGTAAGTAACTTAAGATTTTAGAAGTATGAATAAGTACAATCATCCACACTGAATACCTTACACCCCAAAAAGTAAAACAAAATGAAGAATAAATTTCGTAATCTTGTGATCGCTCGTCACACCAAAGGCTCAGGTTCGATTCCCCATATGGTAAAAAAAGTGTGAAGCTATCTGGTGTCTCCATCACTGGAACATTGAAAAAAGAACTAACTCACTCAATCATTCCCTCACCAAACAGGAATTCCACAGAAAAAAAAAATCATTTGTTTCAATAAATCCCATTTGCTGATTAATATTCTTTAAGGTTTAAGTCAGTTGAATATCATTGCATTGGAACATCGGGATTTTCCTGTTCGAAGCATATAATTGTCACAGTAAAGTGTTTCAATTACGTGTTATGCCTAAAGGGTGATGTGTGTGGTATACGAAAGGTTTTCTTTATAATCACGATACTTGACCTCAACGTGACCTCTGTGTGAAAGTTGATGACGTGTAGACTTTATCAAGGTCTTCATGCGACAGATAACAAACACTGCAAAACAGGAAAGTAACCTGTCCTTTGATAAACGTGTATTTTATTAAAGAACCTGTTATATTCACGAACGAATTTGAATTTGCAATTAAATAAGCGTCAAGTCTGTATATTTAAGTGAAACCCGGATATCATCCACGAAAGTTTCGAAACATTTTCGAAACTATTTGTAAGCAGTTGAAAAATAAATTATAATATTGCAAAGAAACATATTTTAAAGCAATTTCTTAACAGTGAGATATTACAGTGAAATTAAGAATCGAAGCGTTCAAAGTAAATATTTATTTCTCTTCTCCTATCGATCGACAGTGGAGCTTTTTTGTTGTTGTTTGTTTTTTTTGGTTATTGAAACAAATTCGATAGGTACAAAAAAACACAAACACACACATGCACATCGCAATCTAAGTAAATAATTTTGAACACGACGTTAAACCTCATTCTAATCAATAAATGAGATACCTTTTCATGAATACATATTTTGTCTTAATTTCCCAGGGGTCGTCAGCAGCGAGCGGTGCAGCGGCAGTGACGCCAGCACCTGCTCCCGAGAGAAGAGCGACACCAACTACCAGCTATCATGCGTCAATGACGAGTGCACCTGCCTCGTCTCTGCTTGCTTCACCAGCCAACGTGAGGCGCTGTGCACACTACTGGACAAACTCTTATTTTACAATACGACGAAACCTCTTAACTCGAATCCATTGTCTCGATATACCGTTTGAGACAACTTTCCCCTATTTGACCCCTGTAGAATCGTTATTGGCTCTTTGATTCTTTTTTTCTCGGTACTACAGCATTGCTATTTGGCCCATATAATGCCGTTACAACGTTAAACTCACTCACTCACTCACTCACTCACTCACTCACTCACTCACTCACTCACCCTCGGTGCTACGCGTAACTCGATGTGTGTTCGACTTCGAGTTATTGAAGTCTCTCTGATTCACTGGGTTACTTCTACTATGCATATTCCAGACGGAGTGGAGAATGTTGTTTGAAGCCATAGTCCGTAAGCTGTGTCACTTGAGGGGGCATGCGTGGCCCAGTCGTCTAAGGGGCCGCGATTCGCTGTGCAGAGTTGCGTCCCTTGGGCACGCCAGAAACCTATGATTTTTTATTCGAATCCCGGTTCGCCCTGATTATGTTTCTAGGTTTGTCAGCACCATACCCGTGCTCGTGGGTTTCACAGAAATGGTAAACGTCTGAGACCTGCATCACTTCGGGCTTTCCTCCAACATTAAGCTGACACGCCGTGATATAACTGGAATAATGTTAAAAGCGGCGTTAAACCCAACTCACTCACTCACTCACTCTAAGGCGGCCATGTTGGATTTTTTGGGTGGCCCCATATATTTAACTATTTGGAATGTCATCACCTCCGACTGTACTAAGTTTCATGTTTTCACCACAAAGTACACAATTTTTCACGAAACGGCTGCACTATACTTTACTCGTAAACACAACCTTATGATTTAGTTGAAAACTTTAAATAGAGATTTCCACTGATTAAGGAATTGTCCTCTGTCGCTTTTATTTACAATATTTTCGAAACGCAAAGGTTTATTAAATCGATCTTTTGTATCCCAGCAATGTTGTCACTAAGGTTTTCAGTCCCGTGAAGATTCCGGTGTCTTCAGCAAACCATGCTTGCCGTAAAAAGGTGACTATGCTTGTCGTAAAAGGCGACTAACGGGATCGGTTGATCAGGCTTCCTGACTTGATGCAGGTCATCGATCCCAAATGCGTGGATCGATGCTCATGATGTTAATCACTGGATTGTCTGGTCCAGACTCGATTATTTACAGACCGCCGTCATACACCTGGTATAATGCTGAGTGCGGCGTTAAACAACAAACCAACCTACCAATCGAAGGTTTACTTACACCATTGGGGCATGTGTCGAGTATGAAGCAGACAGATCATCGGTTGATCAATCAACTAATCCACCGGGCCTGTCCACCCAATTCATGTAGTCCCTTTGAGTGTCGCGACTGTATGAAAAGCGACGTCACGTAAATCTAGCCAATCCAGATACGAACATTGTATCTTGATCTGACGAGGATAGGCTAGAAACACGGAATAACCACAGGATGTTCTCCATAGGTATAAGCAGGTAAAGCATCAATTCAATAAGAGTAAACATATTCAGCATCAAAACAAACCAGTAAATGGTAGTAGTAGGTTTATTTCACATGTGTACATGTGTGTATCCAACAAGGTAGGAATAATTTCCATGGTTTTCCCTCCTTTCAGGATTTATTTACCTCTGAAATTAAAAAGGTAGATGAAAAGTGGCATTTTCATACTTGAATATTTAGTAAGAAATTGAATTGGAGTAAGAACTATAATATGGATGTGGATGGCAATCGCTTTGCGGAACGAACCCCTGGTGTCATCATTGATTTTCAGTGATCCATTCATATAATTTTCACTGCAATTTTGCCTTTTACGCCCAATGAAATCTGTTTAGGTAGATGATCAACACTGATTGCTAAACGTCGACGTTTTACATTTACATTATTTACCACATATCCAAACACATAGCATAGGACTGCTATAAACCGCCGTCGTATAGCTGGACTATTGCTGAGTGCGCGTTAAACAACAAACAAACAAACAGGACTGATAGAGTGTTTCTATATGTCGAATGATTTAAATATACATGCCATACAAAGACGACTATGTATGTTTTACAAACATATACACGACTAAAATCATATTCCTAATATTGTGTTTCACCAACATTCTGAACCAACACCATCAAAGCGTTGACGTCCCAAATCACATTCAGGCTAAATTTAGACCTTTGCCCCTGACATAAAACCAAACAAGCATAAAAAGCAAACAAATTCATCAACTTTCTTTCGACAGTAATTAAAAAGTCAATGAAACGTAAAACTGATTCAAGTGTATCAACCAAAACTATGCCTCACAACCTCCGGCGGTAACTATGGTTACTTACACGCCAGGTCCACCAGGTCCACCAGGGCCGACAGGTGCCTGACGTCCACATAGGCAGCGGCCGTCGAAGCAGTGGCGTTCGATATGGGTGTCTCTACAAATGCAGCTGTCGCAGTCAGGGCGGTCTCTGCAAGTTTCTGAAATATAAACCTCCTTCTTAACAACACAGGACAAAAACATTTGTCAGAGGTTTGAACTAGATTCCATCATTCATTTGATGCAGGCTTGTATTTAAAGGGCATGTCTTATTTGCAGTTTTGTGCCAGGGTTTTGCTGACGCTACGTTAGTAGTGGGTTTGAATCACAGATTCGTCATGATTGTTTTTTTGTATTGCCAATGGTTTCAACAAAATGGTAATCATCTTAGTTCTGTATCATATTTGTCGTTCCTTCTACATTTGTCTAAAACATAATATCAGCGGCGTGAAACCCAATTTGTTTATTGACTTATAGTCACCACCTTTTCTTGTAGGAGAACCTTTCCAGATGCCAAAAAAAACCGTTCACATATGAAATATGTTGCCTGCAGTTATTATGGTCACTATTTTGTAAACTGACTTACCTGTGTCGCAGCTATTGGCCGCAACCAGACAGGTACATATGTCATGAGAGCAGGCAAGCCTTCCGGTACTATCACATACCGTGTGAATACAGTCGTTGTCATCCCTGCAGGGCTCGCTGTCGATCACAGCTGAACGAAAGAAACAATATCTCATTAGAAGTTGGGGCACGTGATCCTGTTTGGAGGTCACAGGTCAAGGCTTTAAGCACCGTTTGTGGAAGAAAGCAATTGGATGGCTGAGCGTGTTTGGCAGCCTTGTTTCCTAAGAGTTTCTTGGACCTGCCCAACACTGTAGCCCAAGTAGTACATGTGGTGTTTTCCAAAGGCAAGTGCCTTTGTTCGAAACATGCCTCTGTTCACTCAACAGTGATTGGGTTACCCTTCCGGTGAGGTGGTTATGACACTATTGGTCTTCTAGTGCCTCATAGGCAGATCAGATTATATATTGCCCAGGGAGCTGAAATGTAGTGCACACGGATTCATTTCCCGGAGGCATAATAGAACGCATTGATATCCAGCATGGAAAAAGGCGCAATGCAAATAAATAATATTATCTATGAATAATATGAACTATTATCATTATAAAAAATACATGTACATAACAAATCTCATCGGCTAACGTAGACACTAACTAAACTATTAAAGCCGTCAGTACCTTCAACTCACCAATAATGGTGCTGACAATGACGAGAACCAGTGTTACTTTCATGTCTGGAGTTAAGCGAAAAGCTTTGAAAGTAAAGTCTTCATTTGGTTGATCCTCTTATATACTTTCTGTTTCAAATGATACCAACACCAACCCTGTCAGCCAGTCACGATGTTGTGATTCTGCACACAGCAGGTGCACGCAAGACGTATGTTCCCGTGCGCGGTCATGTCATGAAATGTAGATAACACGTTCATTTGTGGGGATCTGATGACCCACGATAGCTATCTAGTCATGTTCATGATCCTGCAAATATATAGACAACACGATTTTATATATAAGAAATATATATAAAAAGAAAGTCACGCAATAATAACACGAATTGTTCTACATGTTTCAATTGTATCTGACCGCCTCCGTGGTCTAGTGGTAGAGCGTACGCCTGGAGAGCGGAAGGTCCGAGGTTCGATCCCCGGCCGCGTCATACCAAAAGACGTTAAAAGATGGTACTTTTTGTTACCCTGCCTGGCGCTCGGCATTATGGGCTAAAACAAGGACTTGTCGGCTCGGCGTCAGTATACTGTGTCTGAGTTGGGTATTCATGTTAAACTGCGGCATGGTATCTCAGTGAGCTAGCACTATAAATCGGCATCAGTCCGGACTAGTACAAGCAGCCACACAAACACACACACGTACATGCACCTCGCTATATAAGTGTAATAATCTTAGACGCGACGTTAAAGCCCACTTCACCTCATCACCTTCAATTGTATCTTCATGGAGAAGCGATTACAGTTATAAGACAGCGGCTTTACAATGACAGTGGTAACTTTCACAATAAATACAAAATATAACCTTTTAATGAAAACATTTTTTTGTCTTTACACTGCTGGGCATCAGCAGTATTCATTTTACAGAAAGGGTATATCTTAAATTCTATTTCTTTTCCTGCTGCGCATTTGTTGAGCGCTTAAGGGGATGAACCTTGCATGGGGTCCTTTATCTGTTTATGGACGCCCATTCTGTCTCTCAAGCACTCCGTTTGTCCAATATGTTGTACATGACATCCTTGGCATATAATAACATAAATAATATATTTCAGTCCATGTCAGAGCGTACATGAAATTGTTGCTTCATGTTTTTGAATTTTATTCAAGATTTTTTTTTAACAATATATTAAAATATTTTTTTTAGTTTCAACAAAATCTGTAAATGCTCTATCGTGTGACTGGATTTCTGACCTTCACTTGATAGTCTGGTTTGATTACATGACGCATTGCATGACAGGGGAATGGCTGTGCAGTGTCAGGCAACAAATACATACCTTTTTTGCAAATTGTGGCGGATGCTACTGATAGGGCAGGGCGTGCTTGTCCTTTTCGCGAACACCTGGTGTCATCCATGATTTCAGTGATCCATTTTTATCAAAATATTCCACTAGTTTGCTTTTTACACCCAGTGGTATCTGTTTAGTGGGATAAACGAGAGTGATTATTCTCTAGCGTTGACGATTTTATTTCCTGGCTATTAATGCAGAAAATAATTCAAAATATTTAAATGTCGATGCTGACAGCAACTTGTTTTAAGTTTCTGTCTTTGCTGATAGTATAAACTGGTGAATATCTTTCCAGGTGGGCTCTTATCATCAAAAACCCATCTTAGTAGAAACAACACTTAGAATTAAATTCCATCACCAAACAGCGATTGTTATCCCACTCGCATATATCATAATGCCATATTTGTCAGACATTTTCCACATTTAACCTACTCCAAACCTGTTGTATTTCTTTAAAACCCGGTGGTTTCGGGAAACACAAATCAATCACAATGTATGGTTCTTCTTCATAGTTTACCAAATGTGGCGGTAAGTATTAGATGAATGTTCTTTTCCTCCACTGAAATGGAAACAAATGTGTGACTAGAACACGGAAAACTTAAAGACAAGATTGGCAAGAATTAAATTATGAACAAATATTAGACAAAAGAAGTATGATTGTACGATTCCGACTATATCATGAGCATGTGTCTTTGAATCACCATCAAAAAGTGATTATATCCGCTGTTCGCGAAAAGTTGAGCGTATCCTTTACCACCGGTGGAACCCGTCACATATCCCATACAAAGGCAAGTCAATTGTTCATCTAAAAAAACGGAAACATATGACACAAGTCCAGATATGGTATTGCCTTTTGCGTCACTGTTTGTCACTGATGCATCAAGATTGGAAATGCTCTCTACTATAACACCTTTTCAAAGCTTTGCTTAGGCCTTGAATGTTGTAACCCCGATAAAACAACTTTTCAGCAAGTGCAATATGACTCTCTTTAAAAAGCATCATAGAGAGAACATGCTTGATCTCAAAATTTGTGAAATGTAGACATGGGCTGTAGTTGATTGAATATTGCTCGACAGAAAGGGAAAGTTGACTATTGGATCCCTCTTGTCATACAGTCTTGAAGGATAGTTTTGGGTCACTTTAAATCTACATATGAAACAGATGAGACTGTTTCACTGGTACTTTTTATTTGTAGTACAGGTGGGAAAATCAGAGGAAGGGATGTGGCTCTTTGACCATTATTGAATTGTATCAGATCTTCGATATTCCTGAAGCATATGTTAATCTTCTTGGTTAAATTGGTTTCAATGTTGCTAAGCCGAGCAGGAATTCTGCAAAAGCTCATAGAGAAACAAATCAACAATGAGGGGAAGAGCACAATTGGTACATGTGGGGATGCCTACTTTATGCCATAATATCTTGTCCCCCCATTTCACAAAGATGTTATCTGTCATGAAATCCAGCATTCACATATTGTTGTTCCCAGTTAACTTCAGATGACATTTGCTTTCATTTTTGACAAAATGCCCTGAACTAAAACGTTTAGATGATCAAGAATGAAGTGTTTCATCAATAAAGTTCTCAATATCGTGTGTTCTCATTTGTCATCTAATTTTCAAAGTGGCTATAAATCATTTTCATATACGAAGGCTGGTCAAAAAGTTGTAAACCTGACAAAGTTTTAACTGTGGTCCATAAGAAAGTGAACTAGTCAATGTAGTACATTGTTTGAGTTGTTCATTGCAAGTGGATATGGTCTGTCGAGGCCATTTGTGTAAAAGTGACAGCCAATTGAACGTGATATAGGTCCAAATGGACACAGAAATGGAAAAGAACGAGCACCAGCAGTCATCAAGGTTTTGATATAGATAAAAGAACTCTCCAAAATATTCATGACCGCACATCACAACCGTATGGTGATAAGAGCCCTCGTTATTACACTGTTAAACGTTGGGCAGCTATGTTTAAAGGCTGGGAGAAGAAGCCTTGATGATGACCCTAAATCTGGACGTCCCTCAATTTCCATCAATGATGATTCAATCAAGGAGATACACAAACTTATACTGTCAGATAGACGTATTACCTTTGCTGAACTTGAGGAAGACACAGGTCTAAGCCATGGATCCATTGGACCTATTATTTATGAACATTTACAGATGAATAAGATATCTGCTCGTTGGATGCCAAAGTTTATAAATTCTAAAGAAACTGACATTGCCAGAAAATATTTAGAGCTAATTGAAAAGGAATTCGTCAAATTCCAAAAGATATAAGTATCGGGTGATTAAACATGGTTTACCACTATGATCCCGAGTCAAAACGTCAATCCATGGAATGGCACTATTCCACTTCTCCGGCACCAAAGAAATTCAAGTCTTCAAGATCAGTTAAGAAAGTTATGGCAACTGTATTCTGTGATGCAAAGGTTGTGATCCTTGTTTGATTACTGAGAAGGTCAAAAAAGATTACTGGTGTCCACTATGCTGATTTGCGCCATTACCTGAGACATTCTATCAAAGAAAAGCGGCGGGAATGCTGACTGCTGGAGTTCTACTACTTCATGAGAATGCCTCCTTTTACACCTCTCGACATTGAGACAATGCGGGTTCGAAGAGCTTCCTCACCCTCCATACTCGCCAGATCTTGCACCAAGTGATTTCTACCTGTTTCCTAAACTGAAACAACACTTTTGTGAAAAGCGCTATGACGACAACGAAGACCTGCCATGAATGGTTTTTTTAGGGTGGCTTCAGAAAACTTGTTCCTGACATATGAATTGCCTGATATGAAAAGTGTATGTTATAAAAAAACTATTTCATAATTGTTGGTTTTCTTTGTCAGGTTTTACACTTTTTGACCAGCCCCCGTATATCAGAATCATGTTTAAAATATCTATTGAATTAAATATTTTATAATTATCTTTATAAGTGATCTTTTCATATTAATCCTGTTTGGATGTTACGCCATGTGTTGACATTTGTGATACATTTGGTCCAGAATTTTCGCAGTTGATCACACACTTTATTCTCCAATCAATATAGATCACAGTAGAAAAGAATAGCTAGTGCACCAAGGATCAGCACCATTGCCCTTCCTCTCTTTTATTAACAGAGGCAATCTGACGCGTGGAGATTCCAGATAAGCACATAGGTCCCAGAAACATATGCGTGTCATAAGAAGTGATTAAATGGATCGGGAGGTCAGGCTCAGTGACTTGAATGATTGCATGTCCCAATATTCCGTGGATCGATTCTTGTGATGTCAATCACCATTGTCTGGTCCACAATCGATTATTTACATCCGATCGTGATATATAATACTGGAATATTGCTGGGTGCCCCTTCAACAATAATAGCGTCAATTATACATCGTGAATTTATACACTAGTATGGAGTAGAATATGTCCCGATAAACCTATGCTGAAGACCTTCGCCCTCCGTGCAAACGCTCTGCCACTAGACCAAGGAGGCGGTGCTTTCTTTGTGTAACAATTGATCACAGACTTAAAAGGTATTGAGAGCTGTACATATGCTTCAAACCTGTTTCTTTATTATGCATTGTGATATTTCACTTAAACATGCACTTGGCATCTCGAGAAAATATAAGACGAAAATCATGTTTAGTTACCTAAGCAGCTATGAGAAAAAATGCCACTTATCGTAAACACTATGTCTAAACTTTATCATACCTTGAGCGCAGGAACCAGTGGCGGAAGTCAGGCAGGTACATTCTCCATGAGAGCAGCCCAACCTTGAGGAACTGTCACATGTCACGTGGTTACAGTCTTTCTGATCCCTGCAGGTCTCGCTGTAGATAACAGCTGAAAGGGAAAACAGTGC